ATTATGTTAATTTACTTATGTTAATTTAATTCGTTCATTTTTTGTAACATTTGGAAATACTTTCAAACGGTGCGTTTTGAGACTGTTAAATCATACCGTCTTCGTTGATTCTACAATTAACTATTAGTAATACAAGATATCCATCTATTTTGTAGGTTTGGAGTTGTCGTATGAAGAGATGTGTTTGTAATGAAAACGCCACATCGTAGGATTCAGTATTACTATAGGCAAAGGAGGCAGTTTCAACATTTTTATAGACTTCGAGTCTGCCATAGACCCTATTGGTGAACCCTGCCTGTATCTTCCCCTGTATTGATGCCTTCAAGTAGTGTCGGATCAAATGAGGTAACAGTTTATCTATGTTTAGTTTATGAGGGTTTAATTTGCGTATGTGAGTGTTGATGTGTTTGCTTTATTATTACGATGTCTCAATTTTGTTTGTCGTTCTCACCGTGCCATTGTTAGATGAGTGATAACGTTAGTTAGCCTGATAAGATGACCCATAAATTTCTAATCCTGTTGTCCAAGCATGTGATAAATGCCCATGGTACTGTAATTAAAGCGACGGATTACTAGAATATGTTGGCTGATTTGGAACCATTGGCTAGGAAGAAGCTCGACATAAGACATTTAAATTCTAAGTTCTTCCGGTTGAAAAAGACATATAATGTTTGGCACAAACTTATTCAACACACGGGTTTCGGTTGAGATTATTAAAACCAAACCCCAACATGTACCTTAGAGGTTTGGACATAATATGTCAAGGTAATTTTTCATATTTTAAATTCATATTAATCTACGACATCGTACATTTTACGCCCTTTTTTCTTGACAAACACATATTAATGTACGTGTGTTTTCATTACTAGCATAACAAACAGGCGACGTAGTTCTTCCATAAGGGACTTCCACATAAGGAGTTATATGAGGACATTTTTTAAAAGCAAAGCACCACTGGAAGATTTGCGTACACATTAACATCCCAACCAGTGGATTCCAACTACAATTCATCTAAACATGGACCGGTTGATAATGGCAAGAGTGAGTTTGAACTTGATCTGTATCAAACAATGGGAGAAAAACCGTCAAACATCTTTGGTCATGGAAGACCCAAGGGGAAGAAGAAGAAATCTGGCCCAGGACAAGAACTTGTGGATGTGATTGGCAGACTAACAGACGTACTTGTTGATAGGAGTAGGCGATCTAGAGTTGCAAATTGTAGTGAAGATGACGGGGCTAGAGAGAACACCAATGGTCGATCTGATCCATTTTCCATGTCCAACTGTTTGGACATTTTGACATCTATGCAAGTTCATACAGATATTTACATCAAAGTTGTCAATTACTTATATGAAAATCCAGGGTTTAGGGAGGCATTCGTACAACTGCCACCCAAGCATAGGTTAAATTGGGTTTATACTAGGTTTTTGAATTGATTAGGATGAGCCTGTTTGTCCTACGTGTAGTCCCACAATTTTGTACTAACTAGTGGGCACTGATCCCTTATATGGTTGTTTATTTTTTTGCAGCATCTTGATTTAGTTTCAACGTAATTATGTTTGCTATTGTATGTACTTATACAATGTGCTATTGTTTTAATGTTAGAGCATGTTTCATATAAGTTCGAGATTGGAAGTACAACTAAATATTGAATGTTATATTTTCCTAAGTACCACAACAATATGAATTGATGATCAACGTTTTACAAATGTATAGGTTGAGATGGCATCGTCTAGGCGTAGAGCTCGTAACTAAAATGATGTTGATGAAGAAAGGAAAATTCTGGAAGATGTTGCGATTGCATTGTGCGCAATTGCCATGTTGGAAACAGACTTCAAAACACATGGATGACGATTACGACATACATCCACATTAACTGGTCACAATAACATGTTGAAAGTACTTAATGGCCATCCTGATAGAATATTTGCGAAGTGCCGCATGGACAATTAATGTTTTAGATACTTATATTACGTTTTGGCACAACAAGGGAAGTTGCGAGACTCCAAGAGGATGAGTATTGAAGAACAGGTTATGATATTTTTTTGACAATTGTTGGAAAAAACGAGACATACAATACTATTATGGAGGATTTCCAACATTCGGGTGAGACAATCTCTAGATATGTGGGCAAAGATTGAACGCGATATATGGGTTGCATACATAGTTTATCAAGGCACTGGACTTCAGTGAAGTTCCAGAGGAAATATTGGCCAACCAAAAATATTACCTGTTCTTTAAGGTACTTTTATTATTATTATTATTTATAGGCACTTCAGTTCGTTGTGTAATTTATGTTGACAGTCGATTGATATTATTGAATGTTATCTTTTGTTCACAGGACTGTATAGGGGTGATTGATGGCACACATGTCGATGCTTGGGTTCTAGTTGAGTTGGTCGATGTCTTCCGAAATTGTAAAGGAACGTTGTCATAGAATGTCATAACTGTATATGACTTCAAGATGATGTTCACTTATGTCGTCACTGGCTGGGAAGGATCTGCCCATGACTCAAAGGTTTTAAATTCGGTTTTTGATGATCCTAATTCTAGATTCCCACATCCTCCACCAACTACAACTGGCTTTTTTAACATGTGTGAGTTGATTATAGGTAAATACTATTGGTTGATGCGGGTTATGCAAATAGAGGGGGGGGGGGGGGGGGGGGGGGGTTTTTTTTTGGGGGGGGGGGGGGGGGGGGGGGGGGGGGGGGGGGGGTGTTCCTTGCCCCTCATAGACGAGTTCTTTACCATCTACATGATCGCTGTCGCAACCGAAATGATCCACAGGCGTTGTTTAACTACATACATGCATCACTCTGCAATGTTGTTGAGAGAACCTTTGGTGTTCTAAAGAAAAGATTCCAGATTCTCGATGGAATGAATAATTACCAGTTGGAGACACAAGCTCGGATTGTTATGACATTTTGTGTACTTCACAATTTTATCAAAAGGTACAATATGCAGGATGAAATCTTTGAATAGTCTACTGAGGAAGTATATTTGCATGACCAAAACAGGACAGCAGATGAAGGAAATGGGGAGGGATCGAGTCAACCACAGCAACGTATTATTGACGACATGACACATGTGCAGGGTAACATAACGACTGAAATGTGGGAACAACATATGACCAATGTTGTAGTTGTTAATGGTGTATGGTTGTATAAAGTATAAATGATTCTAAGGGTTGACAATCAGCAGCTTCGTCAGAGATGTATTAACGTGGTGTTTTAAAATGATGTATTAGTACTTGAAATTAATAGTTCCAAATTTGTCTTTAAGTTAGTGATTATGAAATTAACAATTAAATATTTAATAATATTAAAACGTTCATTGATAAGTTTTTAGGCTATAATAATAAATTAATTTAACAAAAACCAACAAAGAATTCTATCAATAAATCCTTTATAAAAAAATATACCAAACAATTTTTCTACAATTTATTTAACTCTAATATACTATCCTAAATACTTTATCAAACATCAAGTCATATTCTCGTCATAATAACCTAACTAAATACTCTATCAAACGCATTTTTTTTTTCAAATTCTATTCTCGAAATAAAAACCCAACTCAATTTTATAATAATATTTCAAAAATACTACTCAAAATACTAAACAAACGCACCCATTATGTTTAATGATATGTAATGTACAATTAACCTTTATTATAATCTTTATTTATTTTAATGCGTTATTAAGGTGTAAAACTTTTTACATGCAAACATTCATTTATTTATTCTTTAAAATTACCTTAATTTATTTTCAAGATTATAAATTAATATGTGTCAAGCTCAAAAGTGCCTAATTTATTTCCTTTTATTAGTATTTGTTAGAATTTAGTATTAATTCAAAAATGAAATCGTCATTTTTAATTGTTATAATTTTTAACATATTAAATTTAAAATTTAGCATTTGTCGTATTTACACAATTAAAATTTTCAATTTTTTGTTTCAAATTATTGTCAAAATATAATAATAAACATAATTTTCAATTTTGATAACATAAACTGGTGTGATAAATTCTAATTTGTTTAATTCATATTTAATTTTAAGTTATTCAATCAGATTATAATACATAAATTTGTATAAGTGAGTTTATATAAAAAAATAAATTGTATATATAATATTATTATAAGATCAATTTTTCAATTTTATTTTAACCTTTTTGAAAACAAAAATACCGAAAAACAATGATGAATGGGTGTAATGGGATCTCGTCTCGCCCTTGTGGGGTTTTGAGTGAAAATAAATATAACGGATCTCAGTGTTATTTAATAAATGTAAGGGGTGTGTATAATATTTTTCCGTTTCTTCATATGGGCGAATGGTCAGCCTGGACCTTTTAAACGTCGTTTTGGTTCGTTCGCGTTCAGAGACAGAGATATTAGATAGCTAAGCCTGTACTGCAATTTAGAAAGACATTTTTAGGGTTGTGTTACCACCATCACCTCCAATTAATTGCTTCCTAATCTCTCCAATCAAAGCTCGCCATTTACAACAGACGGGTGCGTACTTACTGCTTAGTTATTCGATTGAATCTCTTAATCTCGCGTGATCCTTTCACGCAAATTTTTGCTTTTTAGGGTTGCTTTTGGTTATTTCTCTGTCAGGTTTCTAGTTAGTTTTCTTTGAATTTCAATTTAAAGTGTCTGTAAGTAAACTTTTAGCTGCCCTTGATTGTTTGATGATAAAATGCCGGAAACTTTTTGGTTTCTAAAGATTGAATCCTCTGCTTGCATATGTTATTTTTGCCTAATGATTTGTTCTGCTTGGCTCAGTAGAGCTTAATTTTTATATAAGCTAAAATGAGATTCAAGTTGGCTTGATGGAATAAATAATTTGAGTTTTATTTGTTTCTTTTGGGGTTTCTTGGATTTATCAACTCCTAGATAGGCAAAACGATTTGTTTGATTTTATTGTTACTTTTTGTTTATCTTTTGTATTGGCATTTGGTTACTCATTTCTTGTAATTTTCCATGACTAATTGTAGGTTTAAGATTGCATTGTTGCTGCAAATATTTATACCAAATTTGATTTTGAGTGCGGTGGTGCAAGCATTTGATGACCCATGACGGAGATTCAGACTTGTGGCAAACCAATCGATTCGTTGTTAGAGAAGGTCCTTTGTATGAACATTCTGTCGTCTGATTATTTCAAAGAGCTTTACCGGTTAAAGACATACCATGAAGTTGTCGATGAAATCTATAATCAGGTTGACCATGTGGAGCCATGGATGACTGGAAACTGCCGTGGTCCTTCGACGGCATTCTGTCTTCTTTACAAGTTTTTTACCATGAAACTTACTGTCAAACAAATGCATGGTTTATTGAAACATCCAGATTCTCCTTACATAAGGGCGGTAAGTACTAAGTAGAGCCTTTGCCTTGGGTTTATTTAGTTTGGATTAGAATTGATTTGTGTTCTTCTAAATACATATGTGCATTTTGATTGTTCATTGATGTGGACGAGTGCCTCTTTCTAGGAATTATATCTGCTGTTATTTTAGTTGTAAAAAAATTGATTACTGAAAGGGCATTGAGGTTTAATCATCAGCCATGAAAAGTTCATGATTTTTTGAACACATAAATACCGGGAGAAAGATATAGGATTGGCTGCAGGATGTTTGAGGGTATTCTTAAATCATGTGGAGCATGGATCTTTCTGTTGTGAAGTGGATTAGTTTGTAGCCTGCTATCTTTTATGCAAAGTGGTAAAAATGGGCTAGTTGATCTATATTAGGAGTTGGAATGAAATAATTATAGTATAAATGCAAAGGAGTTTTCTTAGAAAATTATTCTATAGTATTTATACACATGAATGACTATGCTTGCTTGTGCTTGGAAGGATAATGGGAGCTATATTTCTTATAAATTAAGGGGTTCTATTATTATTATTTTAGTAAAAGCATTGAGAAATGGAATTTTATTGATTTATTCTGAAATTTCTTATGTAAAGGAAAATACATGAAGTTGACATTGTTTTGGAGTGTTCAATGTGTATTGAAAATGTCTGAGATATTATCTGTGCTATGATACACGCCAGTAATTATTATTTTGAATTTTGTCTTGTCTTAGATTTGTTTAGCATTTTAAATTTAAAGTTTGGATTGCAAGTTAACGGCAATTTAACCTAGTTCATACTTTTTAAAGAACTAGGATACTCCTTGAATGCAAGAATGAGAGAATTGTTTGTTCTCATTGTTGATAAATACTAGGAGTACTCCTTGAATGCAAGAATGAGAGAATTGTTTGTTCTCATTGTTGATAAATAACTAGGAATATTCCTTGAATGCAAGAATGCAAGATTATTTTACTTGTTTATTTTTTAATTATCGTAAGGATTTATTTGAAGATTCTTTTTTAGATTAGGTTTTGATAAGTTTATCATCATAATTAAGATTGCTTTAGAATAAGTTCAAATAAATTATCATTATCTTTTTGTGATATATTTTTAATTATCATTTGGTTGTTATCTTCATCATATTGAGCCTATAAGTACTTTTCCTGCCCATCTAAAAGATAGACTTTGATTGATGATTGAATAATATTTCTACTTCTTCGTTTAATTCCTTTAAATTTTCCTCCTTTTCTAATTCTTCTAATTCTCCACGTTGTTGCTTCTTCTCCCTTTGATTCTATCCTTCTATGTTCTCTTTAATTCTCTATTATCCATCTTTTCTCTCCCTGGTTAGGAGAACAATCTAGAAAGAGGAGACAAGGAGGGACAGAAATGTAGAAGAATTAGAAATGGGATAAATTAGAAGAATTTAAGGAGCAAGTAGAAGTTCTTATTCAGTCCTTAATGAAAGTCTGCTCTGTTTTACGTGAATAGAAGACTTATTAATGAGCTCAACATGATGGAGATAATGACTAAATGATAATGATTAGTTTATATCATAAAAAGATGAGGATAGACTTATTAGAATTTAATCTACACAATCTTAGTTATGATGATAAATTTATCAAAACCTAATTTGAAAAACAAACTCAAATTAAATCCTTAAGATGATTAAAAAGACAAAAAAAATCTTAATCTTAATCCTATCTTGTCTTTCCTTCATAAATTTCTTTCTTTCTTCCACATTTCCTTTTTGCATTATTTGCTTTAATTCCATGCTCTTCCATGTTAAAATTCTCATTTTACAAACACAATTTAGCCCATTACCAAAATTAATTAAAATCATAGAAGCAAGTCTTTTGCTATTCTTGGTAATGCTTATGCCAATGAGCAGTCCTTGTCTAGCTTACCAATCTTGATTTCAAATTACCTTAGTTGTCAAAATTTGATGGCTGTGTCCTACATTGGTTTTAGTATTGGGATTAGAATTCATGATCTTAATGACATGCAATTAAGGAATCAAAGAAAATATTAAACTACTAATTTTATGTTCAAGTCAAGACCTGAACTTGGATGTGATGGAAGAACTTTTAACGTTGAGGAAGTCACAAGAGCTTATCAAAATTAAATAAAATTCTTCATTTTGTAGAACAAGGACTATAAGATTCTTTATGAGAACATGTTTGGTTGAAATGTTCTTGAAACATATTTTTCAATGCGATCCTAAATCCTTCATTTTGTAGGAGAGGACTATAAGAAACTTTATGAGAACATGTTTGGTTGAAATATTCTTGAAACATTTTTCAAGCGTGATCCTAGAAGTTAGTGTAAAATTAGAAGATTGAATTTTTTTTATTTAGTTTTTTTTTTTTTTTTTTTTTTTTTAAACTCTAAAAGATTTTTCTTAGGTTTGAAATTATTTTCAGATAAAAGCCAAACGGAGCCTTAATGATCTGATGGAATTACTAGAGAACACTCAAGGAACATAGTTAATGAATGTCAATAAAGTGAACCTTGATTGCAGTGTTCAAAGCCCAAGCATTGTAGAAAGTGTTAATAGTTTGATGGATCTTGGGCAAGTGGATTAGAGTTTTGTTCTCTCTTCCTTTCCTCGTCTCTTTTTCTCCACTTATTAAAATAAACCTTTCATGAAAGGTAGAGAATCCACTGGAGAGTTGGAGGAAGCTTGTTTATCCCAAGTTTGAAGACTTTATTTTATACAATTTGCCTTGCCTAGTCTTCCCACTCATTTTCTTTTAATATATCAAATTGCTATCACTATTGCAAAAAAAGTCGAAAGACTTGTGAGATATTTTTCTTGATGAAGGCATCATAGAAGTCTTTGCATTTCTTGAGAAGGTTCAGAAATTCTCATTAAAGTATTTTGAATTGAACAATTGCAAAAGGAAAAGCTAATTGCAAAGATCAAATGTATCATTTTTTGCTGTTCTCATGCTGGATAGAGAACTTGTTCTCCGTTTTGTGAAACCTTTTGCAGTTTAATGCACAATTTCTTTGTTTCTTTTAATAGGAATCATCCATATAGGTTACGCTGTTTCGCTGCCACATTTTGTGCCCTACATAGATTTAACAAATGTGCATTATGAGTAATAATTTATTTCTTACTTTTTGTTGTTTATTAGTATGATTTATACTGCTTTACTTTTGTTGAGAATTCTAAGTTCTGATGGGAATTTCTTTGTTTTCCAACCTATATTTAATTTGGCCGCCCTGGCCTATCTTTGTTTGGACTTCAATCTTATTAAGGAAATCAATGGTAGTTAAGTAGAGTATAAAATGGTGTTATTATCATTTATATTTTCGTCATATTTTCTATAACTCTGAACTTTTGAACTTTCCAGAAACAGAAATAATGTGTTTATTTCAGTGAGTTAATGAACCAAACTCAGGTGATATGATTCATTCTTAGAATTATGTCTATCTCACCTTTCTCTTATATATGATAGGAGTTTATAACTACATACATATGTAGATGATAAATCCCTTGTTTTGCGTAGCAGATTTCTACAAATCAAGGTTGAGGTCTCCTTGTTTCTTTGAGTTGCTGAGACTTTCTTATTCCCACCTAACAATGCTCTTGCTATGCTTAGCAGATATCTGCAAAACCAAGGTTTGAGGTGACCGTTTCCTGAAGTGTTGAAACATTCTGTCTGAGGCCTGCTTTTGTATATTTAATTTTGGATCGACATTTGCTTTCCTGACTATAATTGCTGCTTTATCTGCTATTGCTTCAATCTTAGATTTGCATTAACACTACAATTGCAATGTAGTTTCATAATTTTAGAACTTATGCACCAGTTTATTGGCCCCTTGAAACTTATAGTACAGAGTTATATTCTGTGTGGCACCAAAGCTTAGATCTAATAGTGTTATGTGTCTTCTCCTATTTTCTTAATATTCTGGTGCTATTTACTTGTCAGTGTATAGCTCAGCTGTTTGAGTTTTGCTTTGAGATTGTTATGTATTGGCATTGATACCTGATTTTTGTCGCAGGTTGGATTTCTCTATCTAAGATATGCTGCAGATCCAAAGACATTGTGGAGCTGGTTTGAACCATATCTTAAGGATGATGAGGTATTTTGAGGAGTTTTTTCTGGTTTTTTAGTTTATATCCTGTATTTAGTAATTTATTAAAGCCTCTAAAGCAATTTTAATACTTACACGGTGCTGGTGTTAATCACATATCTGAAACATTCAGATCTCTTAGCATTTTGTTGAATATTTGAATCAGCAATTTGCTTTCCTTTTGTCCTTGAAGTACTTCAAAGTTTAGGTATTCTAGATAATAATTTGCTATTTTTCTATAGAAGTTTGGAAATTTCTTTCCTGGTCTTACTGCATTTTTATTTATTTACTTTTCAGATTGTTTGTAACCAACATCATCTGTTGCTTATGATGTTTTGCATTTTGGATATGGTGTCTTGTTACTTATTCTGGATGTTTTCGAATTTACAAGTCTATGCTGACTCAATAATATGGAAATTTTTTTGTGCAATTATGCTTTTACACTGGATTTTGCGATGGTTTGGTTGATAATTCTTTGGCACTCAAGTTTGGGGGGAAGAAAAAGGGTAAACCTTCAGAAAAAAGTATTTTATTTTGTTTGGCCTTTGTAAATAATAACATTGATGCTAATCTTTTAACAAATATTTAGTTGTGCATAATAATATTATTGGTTGAGGTTACAAGTTAACCAAACAGAAGTTCTGACGCCTTTTCTTATTTTTTATGTTTTATTTTTTATTTTTAACTTTTAAATTTTTTTTCTTGGGTGCGAGGAGTATGTTATACCAAAAGCTTAAAATGAAAGATATGTCATCCATCCTTAGCTCTAACTTTTTCCTTATATTATAGTTGGGATTAATAATAATTTATTAAGTGATAATGATGAACCAGAGTAATCTCCGCTCTAATAATTTTGTAAAGGTAATTATTCTACAACTAACATTTTGGATATCGGAGGCGATTGTTATTTCATCCTTATTCCAGATTCTAAGGATTCCAGTATCAATACATGGAGATATTATAGAAATTTCGTTTTGGAAATTATAATTATATAGTATAACTGACATGCATGGATTCAGATTGTATTCCATAAAAAATATTCAGACAGTTAATTTATGTTATTTGGTAGGCTTTAATTAGCTATTATTCTTTTTTGATTTGACTTCATAATATGGAGTGTTTAAGTTACCAATGGTTTTCTGAAAGAAGGGAGTTGGTGAGCCTTTTTCAGATAATTAAACCAATAATATCTCTTGGAAATGGAGATAGTGTTTTCTACTTATGAATATGGACTGTGCAGTGAACTTTATTTGATTCTGAAATTGATTTTATTTTAGTCGTTGGAGCTTACCAAATTAGTCAAAGTGTATTATAATAATTCCATAAGAAAATGAATGGTGAAAAATGTTTTCATTTCCTTCTGAATATCTTACCAGCTGTCATTTTAATATGTTTTGAGACTTAGGGAAAAAAACTTACTGATTAAAAATTTAGTTACTTCTTGAGTAGAAATATTCTTAACTTAATTCTGCATGGAATTTTGCAGTCTTTGCTCGAATGAATAAATATTATGTATATTACATAGTTTTAGGTTTTCAAGCACCTTGCTAGAATTATAAGTTTGATTATCTCCACAAATATGTCCATGTTAATAGCACATCAGTTAGTACAACCTGTTTGAACACTATTCCAGTATGCCATGTCTTCTAACCTTTTTAATAATCTGATTCATATTTGGGATATATGTTTGCCAAATGGGCTTTTGGTTCTGGTTTACCATAATTGAAGTCCATGTCAGAAGTTTTGCATTCCAATTCTTCACTCCAATTTCAGTTCTACCTAATGAGATTTTGAGTAGTTTCACCCTTATGCTTAAGTTGCTCATTTGACTCTTCAATTGTAAGTAATTTGAAGCATAAATATTAATGCTGCTGTGGCTTTTATTAAGTGATTAACTTAAATGAAGCCTTCTAGATTTCTTCATTAATGCATGATAGTTTTGTTATATAACCTTCAGTCTGAGTAATAAACCTGCAACTTTTTTGTTTTCCGGCTAATATTTTGCATTCAAATCGCAGTTCTGTTTATCATATGCTCAGGGAACATCCCTATGAGTATAATAGCTTTTGTTCCAATACTTCTTTTCATAATTATTTCGTAAATACTGAATGTCTTGCATTTCAGGAATTCTCACCTGGATCCAATGGAAAAATGACCACGATGGGTGCATATGTGCGAGATTTGCTACTTGGACAGGTATTTGACATGAACTTGTGGATTTCTTTTATATTACTGATGGAGAGTCAAGAATTTAAATAATATTATCTTTTAAAAAATTTACAAATTTGGTTTTCTATCAAGTTAATTTGGTTCCTTTATTGTGTATGAATTAAGTAACATATCTGAACAAGATTTTTGTTTCCTGTTTGTTTATGTTTTGGTTACTATAAATATGGTCTATTGTTCTGTTTGTAGGCAGACTTTTGATGGAGGTTATTGAGCAACAAATTTTGTTTTCTTCACAATTCTATGTATTTTTTCCCTTTCTTTCTCTGAAATTCTATTTTCACCTTCCTTCATCTCTCTTAATTTTCTTTTATCCTAGTTGTTCATCATGAGCTTTGAATGACCCTGCACCTGTTATCTTAACTCTGTTTGTGAGCACACTTGCACATACACATTCAAACATGTCCAAGCTCACAAAAACTAGCACAGTAACTTTTCTGTGAGATTTATCTTTTACTAGTTCAACTGTTGAATATTTTATTTACCGACCTTATTATGTGTGTCAAATTTCAAATCAACTTGACATGTCTGACTGTTCTTTCTTTTGTCTCTCAAGCTCAGTTGGCTGGTGACTCTGAGGCCCCAACTCTTGACTTGATGAAACAATTAAGTCTTCTGCCTTAACTTGTCTTAGATACATAGAGATGGAAGGGTAGAGCTTTTGGTTTTTCATGATCTCAAAGAGTTTAATTTAATTTATATTTTTAATGTCAGAATTGAACAATGAAAATGGATTGTGTATACTTCCTCAAATTCATTGAGTCAAGGTTTGAAAAACGAAAAATTGAGTAGGCAACCACTTCATGTTTAGTTCAAATTCAGGATGGATAGTTGTGGTTCCTCTGATGATGGAAGAGTACTGAACCATGAAAGGGAAGGCATGTGAGAAAAACATTTTCTGGGATGGCTTGAGGCTGCTCCTGTTCAGGGTTGGATCTTCACTGAAAAGGCTTTTTTTGATTTAGATTTTAGCTTTTTCTTTACTGAACAATCCGCTAGAATAATTTCTTAGTTGAGTTCCAAGCTGGAATTGTGCAATTAGGAAATGATTTTTTTCCCCTTGTGAATCGCTTTTGACCTTTAATATTTTTTCTCATATCTCGGTATTTGCATGTATGATTATTGGTTCTTTTGTTTTTTTTTTATATTTACCTTTTAATGTTGAGTTCTTTTATATAAAGTCAAGTGTTCTCTGACAAAGTTTTTGAATCTTTTATGGGTTTTAGGAGGAGAGCTCGCCCTTTTTTTTTTTTTTTTCTTAATAAGCTTTTCCGTTATTTTTTATATTCTTTTTCCTTAATACAGATTTTCTTTCTACGATTGTGTATGGTATGAACTATCTTGCTGCAATTTTGACTTTATGTTATTGACCAACTGAAGCTTTAATATTCATAATCAATATGGAAGGAAATAAAAGATTGAATACTCCATTCTGTTGCGATATTGCAGTACTACTTTGATACCCTTTTCCCTCGCATCCCTGTTCCTGTAATGCGGCAGATTGTAACTAATCTTGAGAAGATGAAGCTTCCCTCAAAGCACTCTGGTGTTACAGGGGATACCAACCGTCATGGATCTGATGATACTGCTCGTCGACCACCATCTGTTAAAGCTGCACTTTCAGTCTCTTTTGGCCAGCGTGCTCCTCACCGTGCATCAACCAGGGACTCATCTCCCGTTCGCCGCACTATACCACCGCCCTCATATGATGGAGCCAATGAAGATGTAAGAAGATCCCCCAGAGATCGCCGCAGCCATAGTCGTGAGTATCATGACAGGGATTACTTAGACAGAGACAAGGATCGAGATAGAGATAGGGACCGAGAACGTGATCGAGACAGAGATAGAGATCAGGATCGAGACAGAGATAGAGATCAGGATCGAGATAGAGATAGAAATAGGGACCGAGATCGAGGTAGAGATCGAGATCGAGATCGAGATCGGGACAGGGATAGGGATAGGATTAGGGACAGGGACAGGGACAGGGAAAGAGAAAGAGAAAGAGAAAGGGAACGAAGACATGATTATGATAGAAGGTCCAAGTACTCAGAGAGAGGAAGCAGGAGGGAATATGAGAACAGCCATAGGAGCCGGAGCAGAAGCAGGAGCAGAAGTAAGAGTGTGCAGGCTGGCAATGCACGCATTGATCGTCAAACAACCCCACAGAGAGATGTAAGCAAAGAGAAGACATCTGCATCAAGCAACCTGGCCAAGCTTAGGGATCTATATGGTGATTTAAGTGATAGAAAAGGGGAGGATGAACTGGAACGGGGTCCTGGAAGGGATAGAGGTGAAGAAGTGATTAGACTTGGTGGTTCTACCTGGAAATGAAGCAGACAGATGGAGGCCTGCATATCCAGATACAATTTTTTGGTTCTTCAGGCCACCTTCTTATTTTTCTGTTTGAATTAGGGAAAAAAAAGTACTTATTATGAATCATCACTCATTTCTCTTGCTCTTTTTCCCTCACACTGGAAATCTGAACAGACGTTGTGATGTATTGGTAAATCCATGGCAGCAGTGTACTTTAGTAGACGTCACTCGGTTGTTTCGTATTGTTATATTTTTTTTCAATGCATTATGATCTTAGTGTTGACTTAAGCAAAGTCCGCAAAACATATTAATTATAATTTGTCTTAAAAAATGTTATGTTCAATTCATGGAAATATATTTAGAAAAAATGATTATACAATATTATCCTATTTATACCAAAACTGAGAGAATTAACTTTTACTATGTTAATATCTTTATTTTTTATTGTTTGTGTTAACAGTAATTTGGGAAGAGCAAACAGCAAATGTTGGGATTTCTAGTCTTTTAAGTACCCTTAGTTTCAGAACCATATGCATCGATGAAAGGAAATACTCTCTACCTTGGTCGACGTGAACAAACTTGGACAAATCTTCTCGAGGTTAATCCTATATAAGATTATGATAAGTTGAAACTGCATAAATTTGGTGTTGGAGTTTAACCAATTGATATATTTGCATTTGAATAACTAATTGTTATCTTTCATCGTATAAAGAGTTGGTGTAACTTATACCTGACATGATACTTTGATGTAGTAAATTAATAAGCAAATTAAGAGTTTAGTTGTATCCCAATGTTACATTTGCTCGTCTCTCTTAGAAATGAAAATATTCTTTGTATTTATATTTCTTTTTCGAAGAAATTAGAGTAAATAACCACGTATAAATTTTTAATGCAAAATAATCAACCTTAAACTTCTCCATATTAACCAGGAAAACCGAGATTTACCTAAATTCTCTTCATCTCTTTTTTAACTTTTGGGTGTGTTTTTTAACTTTTGGGTGTGTTTGGTTTAGGGAATGTTAAATTACTGGGAATGTTAGATTATTAGAATCTTATATTACTTTGAAGATTACTGAAAATCTTTAAGAAAATATGTTTGGTTAGTTGGAATAAATTGGTGGATATGTTATTTAAATTACTAAATTGCCCTTTTTTTATATATTAATATAATATTATTTTTATTATTAATTTTTAAATAATTTCTTTTAACCCCCAATATTTCAAATTTAGCTAAAACACCCCCACTTATATAAAACTTTAATTTATAACAAATTCACCCCTACCACCCTGTCGCCGCCACCGTCGGAAGTCACCGTGAGTAGCCCATCGTGATCGGGAGGCATCGATATGGTCGTTTTTGGCCATATTGATGGCCGAAAAGGCCACATCGGGAGTAGATCTAGCCAGATCTATTCTTGCCATATCCGACCAGATTGATGGGTTTGGTCGTCTTGGTCTTTATCGACCAAATCTAAGTGTTAACGGCTAGACCCATCAATCTGGCCAGCAATGGCCAGAATAGATCTGGCCATTTCCGGCCAGATCTGTTCCCGATATGGCCTTTCGACCATTAATATGGCCAGAAACGACCATATCAAGGCCTCCCGATCATGGTGGACAGCTCACAGCGACTCTAGGCGACTTCCGACGATGGTTGACGGTGGTTTGGCTAGCGACAGGCAACAACAGGTGGGTGGGGGTGATGGCTTGGGTAAGCTAAAATTTGTTTTGATTTCAAGGGTAATTTTGTCCAAAAAGTTAATTAATTGGGATGAAATGGTAAAAACAAGATTCATGTAAATAAATTTAAAAATAAGGGAATTATTGTCTTAAAATTTTATTAATAAGGATTATAATTGTAACAAAAAAAGACTACCCAAATAATCTTACAATCCCTAAGAAAATGGAAGTAATCAAATTATCTCCAATATTACCAACAGTAACCACTATTGGTATTTGAAGATTACCGGAATTTTATATTACTTGACAAACCAAACATGGTAATCAAGTAATATAAGATGTCTTAACCCCATTAATCCCAAGTAACCCCCTACCATACGCCCCCTTGACACACAACCATCATTGAATTCAAATGCCTAGAATAGAGAAATTCAACGCTAATTTGTTAACACAAGCTGATTGTTTTGTAATACTTTTGGTATTATGCGGGTACAAAAAACAGATTGAATTATGTTAATTTGTGGTCACAGGTTCATGCTACAAGCTTCTTTTCACTGCCTCTATTAGCCTGAATGGTCCTCCACTCGAAAGTTGCTGACATGCCGATGACTCTTTTACCCTATAATTATAGCAATTGGTCCCTCAAGACTGAACTGAGTGTAGAAATTCAAATACGATGCTGGAGCATGTGGCCTCAGTCACCCACCACAGTTCCTGCATTATGAGAGCCAGATGGTAACAAATTACCATACGGTGAACCAAGACACAACTTCCAATAGTAGAGTCTTCAAGGGTAAAAGAAAAAGATCCTACTAAGAATAAGAAAGGTAAAAGAAGCATACCAGTTTAAGATAATGAAGACCAAGCAACTTCCTACTCACACTTGATAGAGTGGTATATGTGACGTACAAAAAACAATGAAGCACGGAAACCAACAGTCCCAAGCATCAGGAAGAAACCATAACAAATGCAAGCCATGTACCCGAAGAAGAATGAGGTTTGCATAAATCCTGACATATCCGAGCGTGCGTAGTAGTAGTACAGGCAATACGCATATATAAAAAAGCCAGTTGATCCACCACAAAGGAAAGACCTAGTAATATGAAAATTTTATATAAAGTCAGTTTACTGGACTCTAAATTAATCCTCAGATGATTCTCTCCAATTTAAAGGAAAAGAATATAACTGCATCACAAAACATTTTTCCAACTACTCCAATCTTAATAGGTGGAATGATAATCTGACCGCACGGGATATAATGTTCTATCTACATGATCAACCCATTAGAAGTCTTGTTATTTACGCTTGATTCAGAATTGAAAAAAAGAGCGATTGCCATAAGCAAATTTATAAAAGCAATCATCCCGATACAAGAAGACATCATTATTGGTAATGGATAATTCATCAAGGCTTCTATATAACATTAACTTTTTATCCCAAAGTACTACACTAACTAGTAAGCATGGTACTCAAATTTTTTACTTGCGCAAGTTCACAACATAGTGCACATTTCATGAAACTTGGGATATAATTCCTTCTGTAATTTTCACCCTAAGTTATACAGCACAGCACAAGTTTTGTGTGATAAAAGGGAGACAAATTGCCAAAAATTAGAAGAGAAGAAAGAACTTGGAGAGGGATACAGGAGTAAAACATTGAATCATCATATAATTTCTGTAGTTAGTCAATCTTCCCAAGTCAAATCATTAGGCAATTTATTATGGCAAAAACATAAGCAAAAATGAAACAAAAATGACCTCTAATCAGTAAATCCTACTCTAACAGGAAAACCAAATCTAACTCAAATAATGATAATCAGACACAAATAGTAATATCCCAAAATATAACATATTTTCAAAAAATTAAATATAAGATTTAGGATCTGGTTCTGCATCAGTTTTAGGACAATACCTACACAACTCAGTCTTACAAAAACATGCAAACTGAGATACGAGACCCAATTGAGGTGTCCAGAGAAGTCTCTTAACCAGACAACAGTAGCAAAAACAAAACAATGGTTTAACTTTCACTCTAAAAGTCATGAGTGACTTAAATGCAATGAGATAGTAAATATGCAGAGCAGCTATCATATATATATTTGCAGAAAGAAACCATTGACCCACACTAAAGAACTCCTATGAGCATTGAGACATGGAACTTGATAAGAACCCACTCCAATAATTTGAGCTGGGCCATGGGTCTTTCATGGGCTTGGGTAGAACTCTTCTTGGAAAACTGGCTTGCCAAGGGAGGGTGCCTAAGCCTTTATAACCCACATGCCCACCCTTTTCCCTTTCAATGTAGGATCCTAACATCCCACCACGCTTCCGCAACCGACGTTCACGTCGGCTTCTTTACCTTTGTCGGCCTCTTTACCCCTTGGGTGACTACGCGAATCCCCTTTCCCTCGGGCCTCTATGCCCTTTCTCGGGATAGCAGCCCGGGCCCAAGGTCAGCCTGCCACACGTGCGCTACCACATAGGCGCAGGATCATGCTCTGATACTAATTGATAAGAACCCACTCCAATAACTCAACAATTTGGGATGGGCCATGGGTCTTTCATGGGCTTGGGTAGAACTCTCTTTAGAAAACCAGCTTGCCAAGGGAGGGTGCCCAAGCCTTTATAATGCACATGCCCATCCTTTTCCCTTTCAATGCGGGATCCTAATAGAACTCAACTAATCAAACAAGTGGTCAGAGATATGACAATGAAAGTATCACAAAGCCAAGTTCAACATGTTTGAGATATTCTGTGAAGAGCATGATATATGAGCATAAGTATGTACATAAGCATGCATGTACAACATTAGAAAACTTAAAAGCTGAACATACCTCCACCACCACTTATGGTCTTCAGCAGCAAGCTGAAAATATGTCAATGCCACTGTAATAAAGGCAGTTACAATCAAGAGGATGAGGAAGACAATAAAAAGGATGCTGTATATGGTGTAAATCCTGTGACCCCATACGCTAGCAAATATGTAGTAGAGCTCAATGTAGATAGCACTGAATGGCAAAAACCCTGCCATTGCCATCTGAGGAACAGTTTTCCGGTACCAAGGCAGTGGTGGAATCTCTCTAGGATATTTTGTGGTGTGACACGGAGCTTGAAACTCAGCTTTGCTATTCTTCCCTGCAATGCCACCCACTACCAATAATGGTGATGTCACTAAAGTCCATATAAGAAAAATCACCATTATTGTTCCAAATGGCAATGCTGCTGTGGTATTGTAAGCAATTGCAACAGTATTAAGAAAGCAAAATGTGAGAAACAGAGGTCCACAAAACAGGCCTCCAGTCAGAAGCAAGTTTCTCACCTGTCAAGCAAAAACAAAAAGCTGTCAAGTTTATTTATGCTCTCACTTTAGAATTATACTTTCCATGACACAAGTTCATTTGTCATGAAAACCAGATTATGACAAAGAATTATTAGTGGATCAAGGAATCAAGAAATTCCAATATGAACTAAGAGAATATGAGCTTCAGATTCCTAAATGCTAAGCTCAGGTCAAATAACTTTCCAGATCCACCTTCTTGTGGCTGAACTATATATCAGGATTATATTTTATTGAAGTTAATTTCAGGTTCACCATAACATCTTTTAAAAAAAAACTATTCCTCTCAAGATTGTTCTCATTCCCTTCTACCCACCTTAAAAGAAATCTTACAAAAGCATAACATCAATCAAACTACCCTTTTATGAATGAAATCAGTTGAACATCGCATCTGTCTGAGTAATACAGGTAATTTAAAATTTTAGTCATGATTCTGAAACTAAGTGCAACCATAATAGAGCACAGCAAACACTAATAGAGCCACAATCTGTACACAAATTGAAGAAAAGAAAAACCTATGAAATAATTTATGCAACTGAAAAACATAACAAAAGAATCACATAACATACCCAGTTTGTTCCTTCTAGCTGGCAATAGAACGAGGCAGCAGTATAGCCTGCAATCCCTGACGTAAGTGCGTATATGACAACTAGGGCAGTGAACAGAGCTCCTCGGTTATAAGGATAAAAGACACCAACCAAAGCAAGCATGAAAATGAAGATTGCACTGAACATATGCACATAAACAAATTAATCAAATTGCTGGACAAAATATGAATCAACTAAGCTAAATCACTTTGACAGATCCACCCCAATTGCAAACTTACAGTGTAAACAGCTGTGTGCCAGAACCGACAGCTGCGGCGAACAGAGACTTGCATTCCGGATACCGGAATACATCACCATGAATGTACTTCCACCCAGTTTCTTCCTGGTCATCAGATGTCTCCTCGTCATGAGCATATCTATGACAAATCAGATCATATATATAAGAACATTTGAACAGACAAATTTTAATCCACGTATAACAGTTTGGCAATGATTCTTACTTAACAAAATCGTTCTTCAGAACCCTCATTAAAATTGTGGCAAGGAAACCAGTTAACAGCAGAACTGTAACACATGAGTTAATAATTGAGAACCAATGGATTTCCAAGTGATGAGGAAGAGAAGACGACTGCGAATACTTCTCCATTCTCTTCTCAAAGGGGGTATCAGTTTCCTTCCATCTAACACTATACATGAAGTCCACATCAACTTCATTATCCTCAGTCAGGTCCACAACAGCATTTGGATCAGATCTTACACTAATCTCAATCACACGATCCTTATTGTACAGGATTTCAAACTGAAGATGCTTAAAGAGATAATATTTGTATTCACTAGGGTCAGATTTGCCTTCTCTGTCAACTTTCCCCAAAAAACCCCATATGGGCAAATCATCATAATACATTTGAAAGTAGTAATCTTTTGAAACAGCATTTCTAAAATTAGCAACTTCTGCTTTACTCAGATGCTTTTTGCAAGCAAGTTCAGCATCTTTATCACCAAGAAATTCAAGTCTGTACGGAGCACTCACTAATCTATCACCATTCAACACTTCTCCAAGAGCTTCCTTCTTTTCCTTAACAGGAGCTGCAGTAAACTTGTTCAGTAAATTAAACAAATTCCCAAATGTAAAATTCAAAACTTTTATAAATAAGATATACATAAAGAAGCACAAACCTGATGAACAAAAGGGTAAATCAAAATAACGGTATGTTTCACTGTGCACAAAGTTAGAAACGTACCATATCAGACACAACCAAATGAAAATAAGCATAAACCCAGATAAAAAAGTGCTTAGGAGTACCTGGGGTTATGGAAAGGTCCAACCTTGTTGGCGTAAAGAGGAACATCGTAACCCACTTGGTAACGATGATCAGAGGCATCTGATCTCACAAAACTAATTACACTGCAGAGGATGAGGAGTTGAAGTACAAGTGAAGAAGCCATTTCATTCAAATTTGATGGACTTTATTCAAATCAATTCAATTCAAATGGTAGGAGTTGAGTTGATATGGGTTAAAAGGAGGTGAAGAGTTAGATGGAGAGTCATGAAGTGAAAAGCACTCCTCTCCATTGATAGGTGTTAACGTAATTAGGAAGGATAATGACTAGACACCGCCACATGTTGTTTGTTTAATTAATGCATCCAACCCCCGGATCTCGCTTTCCCCTCCAAACCATCTAATAAACCTCTTTATAATTACATAAAACCTTTTGACAGTGAAAATAGTGTCACCAAAATAATTTTATTATTATACAGATGTTATAACTTAATCAGAGTATAGTTATAAAAATTATTATTTTAATTTAGGTATTTTTAGTGCAAGTTGTATAAAGGTAAAGTATGCACTACAAATTATTGAACATCTCATTTGACCCCTTCCCAAAATAAGACTCCAATAACTCTCTTCTACGTACGAAAGAATCCAGAATGGCCACCACTTGGTGTACAGTAGAATTCTTCAATCAACCTATGTATAAACTTGGAAAATTTTGGAGAACTAACATGCCCTTATAGAGAAGACAACCATGGCGTAGGGAATAGTTTGGTTTGGATGTAGGTTGTAGCAACAGATCCTAAATAATCAGCTTGAGTTTGTCATCTTGGAGGGCTTCAGTAGCTAGTTCCTCATATTCATGGAAACGTGCTGTTAAGAGTGTGTTGAAATCTCCCATTACTTCTCTTTGAAACAAGGCATCTGCCACCATGTTGGAACTCTCCGGATAATATTGGATCTCAAAAGTGTAGCCCAACAATTTAGAAATCCATTTTGGTTGTTCTAGAGTGATAGACATTTCCTCCATTAAAAATTTGGGACTCTGTTGGTCAGTTTTGATGACGAACTCCCTTCCTATTAGATAATGACTCCACTAATGAATGGCAAAGATAATCGTCATCAATTCGCATTCATAGATTGATTTTTGCTTGGAGGAGGTAGAAAATGCCTTACTTAGAGAGGCTACTGGTCGACCATTTTGAACCAGGACAACTCCCATTCCCTAACTAGAGGCATCTGTTTGTACTTCAAAAGATTGCGAAAAATATGGGATTGCCAAAACTGGAACCTAGATCATTCCTTGTGGAGGTTTTCAAAAGCCTTTTGTGCCTCCAAAGTCCATGAGAATGAGTCCTTCTTGAGCAATTGAGTTAGAGGGTATGCAATCTAACCATATCCTCGAACAAATTTGCAATAGTACCTTATAAGGTCTAAGAAACCCCTTAGACTCTTCACATTAGTGGGAATTGGCCAATAGAGCATGCATTCAATCTTTGTAGGATTAACCTCCACCATTTTAGTAGAGATTGGGTGACCTTAATACTCTAACTTCTCATGTGCAAACAAACACTTTTTCTTATTAACGACCAATTTATGCTCCTGCAGCATTTGAAAAACTTGCCTTAAGTTCATTATGTGAGAAAGAAGATTAGCATTGTATATCAAAATATCATCAAAGAAAACCAAATTAAATTTTCGAAGGAATGATCTAAGAGTGTCATTCATCAAGGATTGGAATATCGAATGAGCATTATTCAAACCGAATGACATGACTAAAACTCGTAATGTCCCTCATGAGTTCAAAAAGCAGTTTTGGGCACATCCTCATCCCTTATCTGAATATGATGATAGCCCAACTTGAGATCCAATTTTGAAAATATGGTAGCCCATCTTAGCTTGTCCAATAACTTATCAATGGTAGGGATGAAAATTTTTCTGATATGGTGATATCGTTCGAAGCTCGATAATCGACATAAAACTTCCAACTCCCATCTTTTTCTTGACTAACAGTATGAGACTCGAAAATGAACTAATGCTAGGTTGAATAATGTCTACTGCTAACATTTAACTAACTAATTTTTCTATCTCTCTTTTTTTCTTTTTTTTTTTTTCCCTTTTTTTTTTATAATATGGGTACCTGTAGGGCTTGATGTTAGGGAGCTATGCTCCTTCTTTGAGAGTAATGGTGTGGTCTTGCCTTCGATGTGGAGTTAATCCTACAGGTTGATCGAAGAGAGGTTCAAATTCCCCTAAAAGAGCTTCAAATTCCCTCAAAAGAGCTTTTATTCTTAGATCTAGACAATTTGCTTGAACAACTTTCTAATGAACAATGGAGCAAAATTCTACCACATACCCATTCCCCTCCTTATGTAGTGATTTAAGCATCGCCTTCAAGGAGACGACTGTTTTGACAAGTGAAGGGTCCTCTTGTAAGATCATTTACTACCCATTTACCTCGAACTTCATTGTTAAACATCTCCAGTTGGAACATACATCCCCTAAAGAACTCAGCCATGCCACCTTGAGAACCACATCAGCTCCCTCTAAATCGAAAGGAAAAAACTCCTATAGCATTGTGATCCTTTGTATCTCTAGTTTCAGCCCTCTACAAACCCTTGTGCTTCTTATTGTAAACCTATTTCCCACCATAACACCAAAAGCTTTAGTTTCGTCCACCTGCAATCTTAGCTTAGTAACTAATTCTTGGGAGATGAAATTGTGGGAAGCTCCACTATCCACCAATATTATTACCTCTTCCTCATTAATCTGCCCTCTGAGTTTCAGAGTGTTAATAGAGGTTAGTCCAACAATCGAATTCATGGAGAGTGCAATTGGGTTACCTTCTGTGTTAGTTTCATCCTCTACTTTCATTATGGCCTCCTCTTCTTTGAATTTGTCATCAACTGTAACTAGCAATATTTGCAACGCCTTGTTTTTACATTGATGTGCAGGCCCAAATTTCTGATCGCCCTTAAAACACAATCCTTATTCCCTTTTATACTGCATTTTGGCTTCGGTTAACCGTTGATAATTATTATCTCAGAAATTCTCTGACGTTGACTTGACTGATTTCTCCCCTCTTTCGTAATGAATTTGGGTTCCCATTGTTCGTTCTGGACTTCTCACCCATTGGGTTCCCAACCAATTCTAAGTGGCTTCGGGTTTGGGGTTACTCAGGTATAGGGCTTCATTTTTACATTCCATTGGGCTTGGCCGGTTTTAATCTTGGTCTTGTCTAGAATCCAGTTTCGTTCTTCTATTCTATGGGCATGGTCCATTAACTCAAAAAGGGTATTGGGCAGAACTACACGCAAATCGGCCCGAATTTCCTCCTTCAGTCTATTGGCAAAAGTACACATTAACAACTCCTCACCTATATCGTTTAACGGCACTGCGTGCAATTCAAATTGCTTGCGATATGCTATAACTGTTCCGGTTTGTCTCAACACCACCAATGATTCAAACACCGAACCTTTATACAACAGTCAGAACCTCTCGATCAAGGCAGTTTTGAAAACTCCCCAATTTGGAAATGGAGCTCATGAATCCATCCATTTATACAAATTAAGTGCATGCCTCTCCATGCACACTGTTGCTGCCTCCACCTTCTCCCCTTTGGCGAACCTGTTTATATTGAAGTATCGATCGGCCCTGAAAGCCCGCCCATAAGGATTTTCATCATCAAATATAGGTAGATTGGCAAAACGATCTGGACCTGCGGGTCGACCCGCACCATGGTAAATAATATAGGGTACGGGTCAAGCCTTGTGGACCCATGGAAATTGGACCCGCACCCAGATCGACTCGTTTTTTCTACGGGTGGACTGGGTATACCCGCGGTACTCGTATAATTTATTAAAAAAAAAAAGAATTTCCCTAATTCTAAAATTTTATTCTATTTTCTCTTCAACTCTTCTCCTCCTCACTCTCATCCTCGCCGCAACTTCTCATCCCACCATCAATCTCATCATCATTTCTAATCTCCATCATCTCTTTCACTCTTATTCTCAACCTCTTTTTCCTTCTCCTTTTCACTCTCTGTCAACATCCCAACTCTTTCTTTCTTCTCCACTTTAAACAACTCTTTCTCTTCTCTACCTGCTTGAAATAATCATCATCTGCCTATAGCCATTGCCGACCATTTTGGCTAATTTCTTGTCGGATTTTTGCAAATCTTGACATGAAATTCTTTCTTTGCTTGCTGTAATCCTTTTCTTAGCACCAATCAACAAAATTTTGGCCTTAATTCGCCGTTTTCCTCCGCCTTACAATTGCCATCACCTTATGCTTCATTAGAGCCTCGTCATTGGAGCCTCCCATAAAAAACCCCCAACAACATCGGTCTTGATCGCCCACCATTCGCCGTCCGTCAACTTCTTTGGGGTTTGAGATTTTGGCAATTTTTGAGTTTGAATGGAGTTTGTTTTTAGATTTTTTGGAGGAAAATTCTAAGACATTATTTTAGTAGTTTTTTGTTTGATGTTTATGTTAGAGTGGGTGCCCTAGAGCTAATCAATTTTGTAAATGTGGACTCTTGTAATAATGTTTATAATTAATAAAAGGCATTTTCTATATTATGTAATTCGTATTTAATATATATGTTATAATGTATGTCCTTAGAATGGTAGAACCATGATGAGGGTATGAGTACTTCAAGTCTCGATAGTGAGGACCCTATGATCACATATGGTGACTATTATAGAAATGTTTGTAGCCCTAGTATTATTTTGACTAAGGACACAAATAATGCGGTAAGAGTATCATAGTGTTGAACGACCATGTCGAGAGATAGTGATAGATCTCACTTGTCAAGGTTGTTTGTCGACAACCTGGTGCAACACATGGGTGTTTTCATCGGCAAGTTCATTGGACAGACCCACCAGAGTTCCACATAGATAGTAACCCTAATGTTTATGGAATAAATCCTCTAATGGATGGTGGTGCATGTGATCTTAGACTTGAGATCATCGAAGTGCCTTGTGCACCAATTAGTATAGTTTGACACTAGCCCAATGTAAATCTATTCATAACTATCAAAATGGTAGTGATTGACTACATCGAGAAGTGTATCAAAACTATGATGGATTGACAAAGGATTCATCACTCCCGGGTATGAGAGAAATTATCTCGTTGAGTAATTCGGTAGATGACAACGGCATTAAATTTATG